TGTTGTGAGAAAAAAGCGCGTCTTGGGGGGTTCGTACCAGGCTCATGCTTCTGCTCGGTCATCTTGGCAAGTCTTCGACGCGCGAGGCCGGGCTAGTTTGGTTTGTGCGAGCGCCATAAAAAGAAAAACGGTTTCCTTTTTGAAGTACGTGTATCCTTTGTTCGCAGCTTGACCTTTTCACAACTCGGGTTCATTTTTTCCAAAGTTGGATCGGCTCTTCCATTCGTTCAAAGTGAGCATCAGTCAGGAAATCATTGAAGACGCACGGCCTTTACAGAAGCGATGCGCGCAAGCAATGACCTTCGGAAACCGGGAAACCTCGTGTACGACCCTGGTCTTCTTGTCTAAAGAGTCTAAAGCCAAAGTCAAAGGCAAAGGTCGCTCTCAGTAGGTTGAAACAGGGACTCGAGTATTGCAGCGACTGCTGTTTTTGCAGAGCCGCTTCTGCTGATGCGGCTGCTTTGCTGGGCATGTTTTGCTAGAGCAGGAGGAGCTACACACAAGGATGATGCCTTGACCACCTCCACAGTGCTGACGGACAGCAGCCAATGCCATGGTGGCTGCCGGCGCCTCACCTGAAGGTACTCCAACTAAGGTATGCAGGTGCGAACCAAACCTCCTCTAGAACGGCGAACCGAAACTCGAGCACAGCGTGACCCTAACTCCGGCCCGCCCCAAACATGCCCTGCCGCCCTGCCTACGGGCAGTTCGAGGAAGCCATCGGGAGATTGTCGGAAGCCAATGGAGGTCAGCCTCGGCAGCATCTACCGCACGGCCCTGGGACCTTGTGAGTCCTGGGTCCTGTGAGTTCCGGGCAGTTCCAACGCTCCGGCATAGCACAGCAGCTCGTTCTTCAACTTGTCGCTGTTTGGGTTCCTGAGCACCACGACTACGTCTGGCTCGTAACGACCGGTTGGAGAGAAGGATGCCGAACGCACAACGTCTTCTGCACGGAGCAGCTTTTATCTGGCCAAGGGGCAGCCGTCGAAACTTGCTCTCCTTCGGGTTGTCCTTGTACATTACGAAGATTATCGAAAGCCATGTGCAAGCTGATGCTTCAAAAGTTTTGAATTGCCCATTGTTTCGTCGCACCAACTGCCAGATCCACGCCCTTCTTATTCGCTTTAGCATCAAGGGCACCCCCATCAAACCCAGGCCAGACTGCCTTCTTGGTATTTCCCCGAAACACTTTGACACCCAAATAGCCAAAGCTGTTCTCACCATCACACAGAAGGCTCAAGTCCAAGCGGCTAGTAGGTTTCCCAGGATGCGAGCCAACATCGCCAGGACCTCCGCGGCAGGGCTCTTCGTGGCACCCCAGCCGGATTAGCAATGCTTGATGACTTCAGGAGTTGTGCAGCACGAAAAACTAACAAAGTGTGTCGATGCTGCATGGTATTCCGTAACGATCTGCAGCGGTAGTTCTCTGCAGCAGACTTATCTTCTCGAAATTTCTACATACCACAGCAGGCAAATGCAGGCGACAAGTGTAACAGCTTCACATGCTTTGCATTTGTTCCAACCGGTCAGTGCGCTCCAAATTCATTTGCCTTCAGTGATCTAGACAAAGGTGGGAAATCTTCGAGCCTGCGTGACTTCAGTGCTATCCAAAAGCCTCCTCTTGCACCCATCCGGAAGTCCACAACTGCTCCGAGGTGCGACACCCTCCTGTGCCCCGGCAGCCGCACACAGCGCCGACAGCTGCATCTGCCAGGTGAACTATAACAGCTTGCTAGCTCGGGGCCAAGCAACTCGTTTCTTTTGCAGGGCCTCAGACAGAAAGGCTTACTCGAGGGTGTGTCGGTGTTCTGATTCTGATTGATGCCCTCTTAGCAAGAGTCTTCCGTACAACATCCGAATATATCCGAAGTCCTCGACACGGACTCGCAACTCCGAATGCTGGGCCTCGACACCAACGGCCATGGCTGCGAACGAAAGATCGGCGGCCAGCGAAGTGTAGCGATGAAAACTACGAAAAAAATAAACACCATGTGACTACTGCAACATCTCGCATCGTCTCGAGGCCGACTAAGTTCAATGCAAAATGCATGCCATGCTAAACGGTATGTGATCGAGCGAAACGCTTGAACGGCAAATCAGTAGGGTAGCAAACCAAACCACCAAACACAAGGCGCTGACAGGCTCATTGACGCGGAATACTGGTTTGCTGCTTGCGCGGCAAACTTCCTGCTCTCCATCTTCTTCCCACATCGCTTGCGCCTGTAGGAGAACACCCCTGGATTTGCGAGTGATGTCAGGGGACAGTCAAGGCTGCGCGACTAGGCAAGGGACGCTGCACATGCGGCGATACCGGCCGGGAAATCAAGAGTCTTCCATCAGGTCTTCTATTGACGCACCGAGTCTCATGGAGTATGCACACCTCCTGCATGCATCCGGTGCGACTCTGCCCAACACAGCAGAAAGGCCTTCTGCATTTTGGATTCGAAGCCGTCAGAGCCTGTCAAACACAGGTTACAGCTACGAAACACGGAGCTCGCTCCTTCACATTGCTACCACCCTGGAGGACTGTAAGTAAACAAAGATTGCACGGTTGCATGCCACTCAACATCGCCTCCACCAGTTTTGGCAATCTCAGAGTTGATCTCTGCCTAAGCATGCTGAGTCTTCAGCACGAGACTTCGCTCAGTCATTGGTGAGGCTGATGAGCAGTGTAGGAACTAGTAACTAGTACCCAAGCATCACGCCATGAAGGCATCCAGTGGATCCTCCTTGCAAGTGATCGCAGAGGTGCTGCGACTTCATTATGTAATTGTTCGAAAATGTCTGAAATGTCAACGGCAAGCTCACAACATTCACAAGCCAAGGTCGAACCGCGCGAATCAACCGAACAAAAGCGTGTACAAGCATCATCTCCTCAGCATTTGCTGCCGGCTGCGGCCTGAATTCGCATCTCTGACAAATCAGCATGCACTTCCGAGCCATACCGAGAGCAGCACTGCGAAAGGCGGACCCGTGCGGGTGCCATGCCTACCACCAGTACGTGCTAACACTTGCAAACGGCGTGGGAAAACACGACAAATGATGACAGCAGCGTAGCATGTTACATGTTACAATGTTGGTTCGTTAAGAAATCGGGATCAGAAAGTGCAGGCCTTGGCGCGCTGGCGCTTCGTTGAAGTAAGCCTGAATGCGTGAGGTATGCAAGCAGGTTGGTTGCTGCGACTAGCTGAGGAAAAGCACACGATACTTATTCCTGATCCTGCCTCGTCGTCGTCATCTCGGAAATCGGGCCCACCCGCCATCAATACCAAAGATTGCCTACATGAAACTCATGAAACGATCCGTGCATCGTCTGCCTCAGGCTCCAGATAACTTCACGCATCCCGAAAGATGCCTCATTGGGTAAAGCATCTCAAGATATCGCAAGTTGGTTCATGGCACAGTAAATCGCCCCGACAAACTGAATCCAAGCTCACGTGCCCGTTAGTCGATCTTGCGGCCAAATGGCTGCATGCACCGTGGCAGATCTCAAATTATTTGCCCGCCCTGCCCCCCCCCCCCCCGACATGTAGTATCACTTCTCGCCTCAGCGACAAACAAGCCATGCCGAGCCTGTTTGAACATCATACTTCGATGTTCGGCAACGCACACCCAGCTGATGCAGTCATCTGCACTTTGGGGGCACCATCACAACATGCCGACAACCGAACTCTTGAACAGGCATGCTCGCTGAAAAGCATGTATCGGCAGGCTTGGCGATCTGCTTCTAACCTGCATGATACGGAGTCCGACGTACAATGAGTCAGGGCAGGAGGCGGCGGGAGCCCACGGACCTTCCCGGTAAGAGCACCTTCAACCTGGACTGCCATTAATTTTCGCCCTCTGCCTCCATCCGAAGCTGCATGCAAGCACTTGTGGCATTTCTACGTTTTGGAGCCGTGCATCACAGCAACCAGGTTTGTGTGGTTTCGTCTACCACGCCACCCATCCCTGTCACACTCCACAGCTGCAAGCTGAATACAAACCGGAGCCCCCTCTTTGGGAGACACATACATTTCAAGCAGCCAAGCCAAGATGTGTCACACCCTTTGCTTCCGGAACAGGTTCTCCTGCCGACAACATAGTCGCATGTTCATTATGCCTTCCCGACCTATTTGCTTGGGCCACCGCCTCGCATGAGGCTGATCCACGGCGATCTTCAAGATGCCGCAGACCAAGAATCACAAACGGAGCTCGTGTCATCCAACAGGCTACTGCCTGCAAATCCAGCGCAGCCGTTGGGATGCCTTCGGTGAAACGCGTCGAATTCTCGACATACCAGCCGGCTCACACTTTCAGAAGTATTCTTGGTGGCACTGTCTGCGTACTTCTGAAGCGCACAGGGGCTCTGCCACCGAACCAAATGCTTAATTCCTATAAGGCCGAGACCATCTGAGGAAAGAGACACATGCTTACCAACTACATCACGCACCGAAATAATTTCAACCTCCACATGCTTGACACCTCCAGTGTGAAAAGAATGAAGCTCGGCGCAACCTTTAGCACTTTAGCTGCAAAGCCGTGGAAAGATGCGACCGTCGTGGCGTGTCGAAGTAAAAAACTACATACAAAATGATGCCGGCATTCCGGAAGATCGTCGGCCAACTATCCACTGGCAAAAACGGCATGGACTGTCGGACTCTAGCAAGCGATCGTCACTGCCAACAAACACCTTGGGCAGGGAAGCCCATTTCCATAAATCCTGGATACAGGTATGCACCCACCCATTCGTCAAACGGGCACCTTCTATTTCAACGCTGCTGCCGAGGCTCGGGTTGTTTTCAGCCTCTTGCGCCTGACTCGGTACCCGGTGAATTGGCTCTCATCAAGAAATCGAAGGACGAGCATGCTGCGAACCAGCAGAAGTTCTCGCACTGAAATCCCAACAAGCCGGCTCCTCGCAGGAAGCCGGCAGAAGTGGACCGCTGCAGCAACCTGACTCCACCGAGAGGCTCGGCACACCAGAAAATTCTTCCACAAAGCTTTTACGAGAGCTGTGCCTTGCTGGAGGTGGCAGCCCTGTACCCCGCAGGCCGAACACGGCCACCGCCTGGCTCAGTGTCACCCCTCACGGGCGCTCTATGTTCTAGAACTGCGGACACCGGTTTGGCAAGGCCTTGGGCAACTCGAAGGGGATGGCGTGCTAGAGACATCAACTCAGTGCTTCAGCTGGGCTCGGAGCGATGAGCTGTTGACACTTCGGCTTATGCCTGTGCCGAGGGAGGGCCTGGAGGATTCGTACTGGCCCTTCACCTTTGCACATTTTACTCTTCCTTTGGTGCTCCGTTAGACACGTTGTTAAGGAACGCCCGCTGAAACGGGGACTGGCCAGCTGAGCATGCCGGAGGCTGCCCCTAACTCAGTCCGTGCCAATCTGCCACCGGATTTTACTGTAAAGGGACAGAAAGACTTTGGAGATTGGCATGGCTCGAGCAAGACAGCCAGGTCGGAGGCTACAAAGCCTAGGTCCTCAGTCTCATGTGACATGAACGAAGACGCACCATGAATCAGCAGGAAAGTGCCGTATCACTCCTGTTCTCGCGAGCATGCTCTGAAGTTGAGAAGGGGAGCACGAGCAGTCGGCATTGGCTTGGTCGCATGTACAACAACTGCTACAAGCTACTGCAATGCCTACGCAGCTAAGTACTTCGAGCATTCCCGTTGTTCGCACTATCGGGATTGCTCCCTCCTCCTCCTAGAAGGCGATTGCGAGAGCCTCGGCGCGAGCCGCTGGCAAAGCACCGGCGCTCCGTCCGCGACTGATCGGAGGAGCCTCGGTGCTCTTGCTTTGAGGAATGCACGCTGAGATTGAGACGGGGCGGAGAGAGGAGATGACTAAAGCCTGAGGCTGGGATGCCCCGTAAGAATCAGACTCGCGCCCTAGAGTCGCTGATGTCAACGTATCAGCAAAATGTGCAGACAACGTGGAATGCCCTGATCATTTGTTTGTCCTACACACTTCACTTAAGCTAGCGCTCTAAGCTTCAACATGAAGGCCCGAGTCTGAGCTTCGGCTTGGCTGACCCTTAAGCTCACACCGGGGCCGCAAGCAGGAACTGGCGGCCGGATTCGACCACCGCTTGTGGCCGGACCTTTGTGGTGAACAAAAACTCCTGTGGGGATTCGGATTGTGTCGAAGGATGGGCGCAAGCATGCCCAGCTAACTATTGAACATACATGTTCGGTGCTCTCCGCAGCACAGGCTGGGCCCGCCACGCGGCGTGGGGTGAGGGGCTGGAGGAATTGCCGCCTCAAGAACTAAGAACTTCTGTCCTAATGAGATGTCCCGAATGCGACCATGCCAGCTGTGAAGTTGGGGAACTTGTGCTTTGATGTATTGCGAAGTCGACTGCAGGACTGCCTGGCCTCGTCGACGGGAGGCTCTGGCCTGCTCTCATATTCAAAGACAGCTGTGTGCTGACGGCACTGCAGAGACGGAATCGCACAAGTGCCTTGACAAAAACCACCGCACGGTTTCCCCGGCCTCAGCTTCACAGCCGTGTATCGTCCCCCGACTGGCCGCGTCTGCAGCTCCATCGCTTGGTCGTACTCCTTGGTCGCAGAGAAAGCTCAGCTGCAATGTGCTGAGAGACCGAGCCTCTCTGCAGCAACATCAGACTGCACTCAGGGTGCTGAGGTCGAAACCCAAGACGGCAGTGGCCTCCGGTACATGCTTGCCACTCGTCTCTGCAATGAGTAGCAGAGTAGCATCGTTCAGCGCTGAAGGAAGCTAGGTTGTATCTCCCACTTCGATGCCAACATGCGCACTGCGAAGCCCTGCTTAAACAGCAGGCAGTCAAACAGTACGAGTCAGCTCCGTCCAAAATTCCGACCCAAATTAGACAGAAACAGCGTCTCATGGCCAAGCCACCCGATTGGACCGTTCGTAGTGAGCTCGACCCACCGCTGCCTGAATCAGAGGAAATTGAGTATGGAGAGTCTGCTCTCCTCTCAACCGACACTAATCCGGGGGCGCTGGCCGCTCTCGATCGGCACCTGACAACTCACTTCACCAGCTACATACACTCTACACTATCACCGGTGAGCTCGAGGTGCAAGGCACGCCAGCGTCTGCTTTTTTGCCCAGAAGGCCCACAAGTGCCATAAGTGCTACACAGCTAGTGCTACCCCAAGTGGACTTTATATCTGTGTCACAGATCTTCTATACTCTCGGAAGACTAGCTCATCCTGATGCGCTTCAAGTGTAAAGCCCACAAGCAATAGCTTTGCCGGTGCAGGCAGATGCTCTTGAGAGCGGTCGGAATCCAACCCCAGAGATCTGACAAAATGCCGCACTCACTTCATAGCTTTCATCGCCTGGTCCAAGGAGGTTTTGCTCTTCACTCTGGCATCGCTGATTGGCGAGGTGGATTGGCCTTCATGGCCACTGCCATGGCTTTCATAGCCTGGCGAGGAGGTTCCGGTACTGCTGTCTTGAACTTAGAGTTCGGAAGCTGAGCCACTGATGCGGCGAATCGATTAATGCAGCGGCCTTCTTCACGGCCTTCATGGGGGCAGCTTTGCCCTGGACTGCAGCTTCATGTTGCGCACAACGACATGCTAGCAAAATCGGAAGCGTCCGTACCAGTCAGCGTCTAGGCTTCGCAATGCAGCACTACTTCGCATGGAGGCGATTGGACTGCGTGCAGATTGAACTGCCCTTTGGTTTTTACGACGTGACTGATGCCACTGGATGCATGTCGTGTAAGAACTCCAGCGAGGCGGATTGGCCTTCATCGCCGCCATGGCCTTCATTGCCTCGTCCGGAGGCTCCGGCACGGCTGTCATGGACTTAGAGAGTTGGGAAGAGAATAAGGAAGCGCCTAACGGGACCACTGATGCGGCGAAACGATGAATTCAGCAGGTGATTATCGTGCCACCCTCTTCACCGGCCTTCGTGGGCGCAGCTTTGCCCTGGCGACTGCAGTTGCACGTTGCGTGCAACGACACGCAAGCAAGAATCGCAACCATGCATGAAATCGAAGTGTCAGGGTTATGCAAAATTGGGCATGGCAAGATGGCACGGCGTGCACTTTGAAATGTTCCATAGTGCTACTTAGAAGCTAGTCATGGATTCCAGTGAGTGCTGACTGCTGCTGAATTTGGCTAGCATTTGATCGCTATGCTGGAAATGCACATCGTGTGCTTGCTGAACGAGAAGCATGATGATGACAGCAAAACCTTCTATTCAAGCCATACTTGTGGCCAAGCTGCAATCAACCAATTCCGAAAATAAGCAAGAAGTCAGTCAGGCAAGCAAGCAGTGCAAGCTAAGAAGTCCAGCCACTACGAAAAGAGAAAGCCACGAAACACAAACGACTCCGAAAAGCTTGCGCAGCTTATCGACCAGGGATCGACTTAGTCCAGACACTGAAAACCCTGACGGATCACGTGCCTTCGCCCCCGCTTTTCGGCGCAGGCCTCTTCACTTCCACCAAATTCTGATGCACAAACTTGTGCAGAGAACCAAAGATCCAGCGCCGGAGCCGCTCTTTGCAGACTCGACGTGCACAGGTCCATGCCAGTACATGCCGTGTAGCTTAATATGGCAGAGGTCACGAAGACAAAAGAAACTCCTGGCCCCCCATGTCTTCTGTCTCTTGGACGCTGCTCTGTAAGTGCCCGATTTGTTACTGCCCACATGCCAACCATGATCAAAGTGATATCACAGTTCTTATCAGTTCTTGCAACTTACACTTTTGTTGCCTGCATGCTGCCGGGTGAATCGCAGGCTTCCCGCACATTCATCCGGCTTTCTTTGGCACCGCAGCAGAATTGGTGGGTCGCGACGCCACTGCCAGACATGTCTGTTTCTTGCTGCTCGGTTGGGCTTGTTGAAACAAAACAGACGGGCTGCTCGGTTGCGCATCAGGAACTGTTTGTGCTACGGCTAAAGGCAACAGATGTAAAGGACGTGCGCCTCTCCCAGCAAAGACTCCTGCAAAGAAGTCCAGGTCGATACATTCGCGATGCCCGATGCCCGAGGACACGATTGGTGTATGCCCAAATGGCGCTCCGCCAATCTGCACAACCGCACATATTAACAAGCAACGCGAGCGTGCGCATAGGCCTGGAGAGTGGCGTTCCGAAGGGTGTACGACAAAAAACGGTATCTGAAGAATGTGAAATTGAGCGTCGCGTGGCTTCCTGCACTCTGAGACTGCTTGGGTGCAGTCAGACGCGAAAGCGATGCACTTGCAACCACACTCAACATCATTCAACACTTTGGCAAATCAAACAGGTGCCGCTCATGGGATTCTAGAGACACCTGTATGAATGCATGCATGCATGCGTGCGTACATGCGTGCGGTGCATGCATGCCTGGCTGCCTTCCTGTGCCTTGTTTGCCTGCCTGCCTGCCTGCCGGGTGGGTGGGTGGGTAGGTGCGGGTGGGGTGGGCTCTGTAATGTTTGCCGGAAAACGATCATTCAAGAACACCACCTACGCCGCACCACATACACCGCTACACACAGTACTACACACATACATATACATATACACATACATGTACGCATATACACATATTTACATATACACATATACACACACACACACACATATATATATATATACATATATATATATACATATACATATACATATATACATATATATACACATAAATATATATATATATACATAAATATTATATATATATATATATATAGATAGATATATAAATTTGTATACGTACAGAAGCATACTTACATACACATGCACACGCGCGATCCATGTAAACCATGCTAGACCTACCCCGGGCTATGACGCTAATAGAACTAGTTACAAAAACACGCTGCCAAATACACGTGCCATGCAAACATTGCTCTGCTCGCTTTCGGGATAATCGGTGTCTAATTTTTTGTTTGCAACACTAAGTTGGCAAGAGTGAGGGTGTGTTTTGTGGATGGCGCGCTGATCGCGCGCTGAATCAAACTTGACAGAAGTACTCCATGGATCCCACAACCTGCTTGAACATGCAAACAGCTCACACTACGACTGGCATCTGCAGGTCCAAGTTGCCGCCGTAGATCCTCTTAGCCAGCTTCAGAGCTTCGATGGGATCGCTCTCCTGCTTTTGTGCCTGCCGTCATTTCGAGCGCTGACTTCGGGCCAACGCCGCAGACTTCCGTGAGGGAAACGTGGAGAAGCAGCGTGACGATGGGACCGGGCCTGTTTCGTTGCCTTAGCCCAAAGACCAGCCATGATTGTCCTGAGCTACAGTACGGGCTTCTCATGCTGCTGTCAGAAAGAGCTGACAAGAAGCGACTAGGTTTACGAAGCAGCGCAACGAGATCCAGGCGGGCGGACATCGGACAATTCTTGCCAAGGCACGAATCGGCACGAGAGAACTGGGGAGGACAAGAAGGGAAGCTTGCAGAGGCAATGGCTGCAAGCCCACTGCTAGAATCCCACAGGTGTTGCCAATTTGGTAGGTGGCAGGCAACTGTTTCTTGTCCGGTGCACTCCAATATAGCGTTAAGTGCTGGCAGGCTCGTCATTCCACAGCATGCTGCATCGCTGCGTGCTCATGCTTGCGTGTCAGCGCTACTGTTGCCACTTCTTTTTTTGTGTGTTGACAAGAAAAAAAGAAGATGTTCTGTTCGTCTCAACGCAACGACAACAGTGACAAAGTCGACGACAACGACGACCACTACTACAACTACAACTACCACCACCGCTACTTTTCAACCTCGGGCTCGGATGGGCTCGGATCCTGCATCAGTTGGGACTCGGCAGCAGCAGCAGCAACAACAACAACAACGGCAACGGCAAAAGCAACGGCAACAACAACAACAACTACTAGTACTACTCCTCCTCCTCCTCCTCCTCTTGCTGCTGCTGCTGCCACTGATACTCCTCCTCCTCCTCCTCCTACTACTACTACTACTACCACTACTACTATTTACTACTACTATTTTCTGCTTCTGTTTACTGCTGCTACTACTACTACTACTATTTACTACTATTTACTACTATTTACTACTATTCACTACTATTCACTACTACTACTACTACTACTACTACTGCTACTACTACTACTACTATTTACTGCTGCTGCTGCTGCTGCTGCTGCTGCTACTAGTAGCGGTAATGACTAATGGTAGTGCTACTGCTACTACGACGACGACGACGACGAAGTCAGTGTCCGAGGGCTCAGCAATCAGCTGTGCAATGAACGAGTCGAGCTTCAGGTTGGGCTGCAATCCGAAAGCACTCTCCAACATCGCTTCACATGTGGTGGTCGAGGGAACATGAGAGTCGCAACAGTTTCATGCCTGCTGCGGGGATCGCTGCTGTGCCTGCATGACCTCCAGCTGGGCCACCTGCAAGTTTGGAGCTTCTTCTGGCCGCGGCCGCAAAGCCACGATACAACTTTCAGGACAAGGCGATGCTCTTCAAGTCCTCAGCCTCCTGTTCAGAGACCTGAGATTTCAGTTCAAAACCTGAAACTTGAAACCACTGCCTTTGAACTGACACCCATCTTGGATCCCTGCAGAATCAGGGGCTGCTAGCTGGGTAGTTGACATTGAATGAGGCAAGATGGTTGTAGCCTCGGCAAAGCTTTAGAGAATGTTTTAAAAAACGAAACGCTCCCTCTCTTCTAAGCCAGTAGCCATTGTGGATTCCGCCTCTGAGGCTGCCCGCGAAAGCCTCTCCCGGGTTAAATTGAGGTAGGCTTCTGAATCCTATTACAAGCGCTGCGCCTCTGCGAGAGCATGCCATTGGTGCTGCTCGACTTGCTGGGCCTCTCTGCAGTCGATTGGCCAATTCTGACGACACGGTTGGTCTGGAAGCACCGCAACATAGAAGACAACAGATTTGTCGTCATGTCGTAACAGATCCTTTCAGGGCTCCGGCTCCGCTGGAAGCTTTACTCTGGCAGTGCTTGCGCTTGCAGCCATGACTAGATGCTGGAAAGATATTTCAATTTTTGAATGGTTTTGACCCAGCCATGCTTCATGAATGCCTCTTCTCGCTGCTTTGCTGAGGAGTGAAAACAATGTCCTGACTTCCCTTGTTTGACGGCAGCAGCTGGCAGCTACGATCTGCAAGTATTAGATGGCTGCTGTACTCAGAGGGTTCAACATGCCACGCGGAGGATCCTTTGTGTTTCGGGAGCCCTCTGGCTTGAAGACGTCTTGAAACGACATGCAGAGCTCCTCGTAAATCCTTGATTTTGTTGACCGAGAGCCAGAGGTCGCCGTGTCGAGTCATGCCGCGTGGAGCTTTGGGGGGGGTGAGGGGGTGGGGATGGAGAGGCGCATCAATGGCAGCCACGTTGTAGTCCGCCAGTGGTGGTGTGAAACGTCATCGTCCGACAGCCTGCCACCAGGTGCTCTGCCTGAAAAAATACATTCTAGTCGGCAGAGCAGGTGCCGCAGGACTGAGGATCGGAATCTATTCAAACGAAAACATGTTTAAAAGCCTGCAGTATGCAGCTTGTGCGAGTTCTGGAACCTACCAAGCTGTCAGGAACTGACTGCACAGATCAAGAGATATAGTCGGGGTCGGGAGACAGATGTACAAAGCTTGGGCCGCGTTGTTGCGGCGACGTCACATCTTGATCCTGCATGACAATTCGACGCAGAACAAGCCACGACCCGTACGAAATGCAGGTCACACTGTCAACACGTGAGCTGAGGACGAGCATGCGAAATTACGTGACAAATCCATGATCTTTCCCAGCATATATTAAGCATGTGCATAATATGGCTGAATGTATCAATTTGGGCAGAACGTTTGGCCAGAAGAGGTCGCCTGTTGACTCAAGGCCAGGGATAGGCTGGATAGATGCACCCCAACCCGAAACCAAGGTGCGATGACCCTGCAGGGATCTGTGTAGGAAACACGCATTGGTACCTGAAGCGCTTTTCTTCCGAATCTAACGTCGCCCTGGTTCCATAATTAGTCCGATTAGTTAGTCGAACTCAGTAGTGCGATGATAAGGCTGCGTTGATCAATGAAGTATCAATGAATGTCGGATGTCCTCTTTGCCCAGGACTCGCGAAGCCGGGACCTTTAACTCGCCTCAGCTGTTTGCGAAGCCGGGGCATGGCAGGACTCATGACGGCCAAGGAATAACAGCGCATAACAGCGCATGTATCCGGGTGGGGAAGCTTCGCTTGAATAGGATGCTCTTTGTGGCGAGGGTCCATGAGGCGGCGTTTTGCCGAAGTGACAGCGAGCGATCAGCCACTGGCCAAGCAAAGCCAACAAGGCCACCGCGAGAGCGGCACTGAGCCAAGCGAATAGTATCTCGCTTTGCCGCATGTGCAACTCGGGATTTGCAGACACGAGTGTCAGACCTGCAGGGTAATGCAACAGCCACAATCAATGTATCCCGACGTCTTAAATCCTGTGCCTGTGTGCCAGATCGATACGAGTGGCAGGATCAAGAGACAGAACATCGTCTGGCTGGTGTGGGCCAGGCGGTTGTCATCAGGAAAGTTCCGCCGTCTCACCATGAGCAGCTTGGGTAGCCGAGAGCGCAGGTCCAACTGGCGTGCAAACATCTGAGGAATCAGCCCAATGGGATTCATCGGAGCAAACCTTACGCTCGAACAGAGATGTATCCCAGGCGCAGGCACTTAGTTAGAGACTGCGTGCAATGAAACGACTGCAAATGCCAAGTGGCATGACCAAGATCAAGAAATTCATTTTCACCAGTTTCAGTTCTGACAAAGGCTCCATCTGGCGTAGCAGTCGTTGGTCTAGAGGCCCAAACAGCCCGTAGACCATTGTGGCCCCTTGTGGATGGCAGTCTTCACAAATGTCTATGTGGCATTTTTTGCAGTGCCTTGGCTGCAACAGTACCAAATATTCGAGATAGCACTTCCTGGTTTGGATCAAGCGTGGCACACGTACGCAGTCAAGCCGCCACCGGTATGGACCCTTGTTTTCACTGCTAGACCGACATACATCATGATGTCGACAAGTCCAGCCCCGACCGTCGCTGGTTTCCGCGCCGGTCCATTCCATTTCCCTGCTGCAGACCAGGCAGAGTGGGCCGAACGCCTGGCGCGGCGTGAGTAACTTCAGACCCGACAAGTGCCCTGAAATCGCATCACGTGTAGCATATGACCGCATGGTGCACAAGCAGGCACACCTTGGAGGTCATCTGTTCAATGATCTTCGGCGGTCGGAATGGAAATCCTTCGAAAATGTAGCGTAAGCCCAGCACACCTGCAAGAAACCCCCATGTCGGACAGTCTGAAGGAGCTCGCAGCGTGAACTGGGCTTGAAAAGAGGAACAGGCTGGTCCGCAGGTTGCGCAAACAGCTAGTAGACTCATGACTGTTCACTGGTAACTGATCAGCAGGAGGAACACTGCTCTTGAGAGGCAGCCTTTGTGTCAAACTTTGGTGGACAGCGACGCTGAACTCTTGGGCGTTGAGGAGTTTTAGGCACTGGGAGCTCGGGCGGCGAATGGGGTCGGGCGTGGCTTCGGCGTGTAGTGTCAAGTCTTGCTGGCGCGATGGCGCTGGCATGCGGTGCATCTTCCCACCTCCATCCAACAAGAAGATGAAAGCCAGAAGCCGTCCAAGTCCTGACGAGATCTGTTGAGTTCGATGATCTGTTTGAAGCGAAGCCCACATCTGTCGCAATCTACAACATTGTCAAGTGTGCAGACTTAATGCTCCCCTTCGGGGAGGGTTTCGATGTGACGAACAGCCCATTTTGTGAAAGTTGCAAGTTGCTGTGAAATGCGGGCTGAGAGAGGATAACACGAATCCTATGAACAAGTCTGGACAAGGCTTTCTTCTCCTAGCTTGTACATGTGTAGAGGAGCCTCTGCAACGCGTGACGGGAAGGAGAAGACTCTTGCAAGTATACAAAATCACACAAGCGACAAACGTTCCAAAAGATCTGATCGCCTCACCAACCACCCTCATGCGTCGTCTTAGCGGTCATGCTTGGGTATAGACTCACAGCGAATATCGGGCGGATGCATAGTGGGCATAGTGGCCTTGAAGGCAACGGCAGCAGCATGCTCCAGCTCGCTTTCGATCTTCCTCTGCATCTGACCCTCCGCGAGATATCTGAACTTGTGCATATATCACATAGGCCTCAGTGAACCCACTCGCCGTGCCATGACAGCCCCTGCTTGACCATGCTCAGCTTCCGACGACCAGTGGAACGATAAACTCCATGAGAACCTCCACAAATGGAGCGACGACGAAGAGTCCGCCCAACCACGCCTCGAAGAGGTCCCATCTCCTCGGAAGTCAGAACAGGCAATATGTAGCCAAAGGAGCCGAGGCGTTCGCTTCACTGATCTCTTGGCCCAAACCCAATTACTCCTTTCGTGCCCTCACCCCGCCACCTTCCACCTATGACAAAGTGAAATTAGGCGGGCTCTTCTGCTGAGGTCGACGCTGGTGAAAACTTAGCTTTGATCTTGCGCAGAAGAGAGTGCCAGCACAACAAACCGGATCATCGGGAGCACAACTGCGCAGGGCTTGGCAGACCTTGACAAGCAGTGGATGGAGCCACCTCTATGCAGTCTCCCATGCACATGTCTCAATCCGTACATCTCAACTGTGATTTGTCTGCATCCAGGTTACCTGGAAATCCCAGAAGTCTACGCAGCCAGCGGAGTCCCACCATTCAGTTTCCGGCGTTTCTTCCCACTCAGGCAGGAAAGAAAAGGCCAGGTAAGCAAAGACTCCAATTGTAGCAACCATGTCAATGCTGATGGCCATGAAGTGCTCTACAAACAGTCGGAGAATCATGCTGTGGAAATTCCAATTCCTGCCAGCACGAAACAACCCCTTCATTTCCGAAAAAGCACCCGTCTGCTGCAAAAGCATTTCGCAGCTAAGGATCTTGGCGATTTGTCTTGCAAACGCTTTGCAGAGCTCGCCCGTGGCAACCGCTATCAGCAAGGCCATCAGGATATCACATGCTATCATGGATAGCGTGCCAGCGAACCCATGCTTGAACGATGGATCGCGGCAACCCAACTTGTAGCAGTCGCCCCACTCGTAAATCCTAAGTCTCTTGATTAGCCATGAAAGTTAATCGATGCCCTCCAAGCCCACCTATATTCGGGAGAGGGAGGGAGAGGGAGGGCGACAGCAAGCATGCAGTGAAAGTAACAGCGAGTGTAACAACTAAGAGACAAGAGCAGGCAGCATTGTCTGTGCATGTCTGAACCGACCATGCCAAGCTGCAGGAGAAACTTCAACTCCATCGTGAACAGCAGGAATAGAACTGCAAGCGTCAGGCACAGCATGCCTGCCACACCTCTCAGGACACGACATGTGAACATCAGGTGCCTGGAAATCGAGCTGTAGCTTCGTTCGCACATGTTGCAGTATCATGTGTCAGGGCGCCTGACAAAACGACACACCAAGCTGCCCAAATCTTGGGATGGGTGGCCTTCTGATAATCTGGATTTCGGATCCTGGTGACACTCTCCATCACAGACGGGTGAAATAGCACATGGTGAGAAGGATACCACTCCAGCAACTGAGTTATGTGGCAAGGCAGAGCACGACCTTTCCAGCCTAATGACCTGATGCAGCAAATTCACGTGTCATGCCATGCCAGCTTAGCTCGCTGCTACAGTAACCTCCACGTTGTATGGCAACCTCTTTAGCACGTTTTAAAGAGACACACGCGCACACAAACACACACACACACACACACTAAGGCCACAACATGGCCATGGACTTCACCCCCCGACTTGTTGCAGCACCAGGCTCAAATTCACTGGAGCAGCGAAGACGTCTCCCGAACCAGTCCGTGACATGATCTTCTGCAACACATGCTTGCTCCTTGGTAAAGCTTGAGCTAGGTCTCCAATGGTCCAACAGGGAACGATGCCCACTGGAACAGCTTTCGCGGCTTGAAGAGGCATTGCTGTTCCACAAGTTTCAGTTTCTACATGATGTAAACTCGCCGAATACAACCGCACAGCTGATCAATGTCGACGTAAACTTGCTCGCACAAATTGTGATTTCGTCACGGAGCCATCGCAGAACTTTTGCACGACGTGCTTCTAGCAGCAGCTGCAACAGGGCCAGTGGCGGTGGCGGCAGGTGGAGGAGTAGCCGCAGTAGCGGTAGTAGAGCAGTAGTAGCAGCAGCAGCAGCAGTAGTAGTAGTTGCCGCCAGCCTGCTCCTGTGACCCCCTGTGTCTACAGTACAAAGAAACTGAGGACTGCTATTACTTTGAAGGAGCAGGCCGAGGATGACTTTGCTACTGTAGAGGGGCAGGTGGCAGACTAGTAGTAGTAGTAGTAGTAGTACTACTACTACTACTACTACTGCTACTACTACTACTACTACTACTACTGCTATTGCTACTGTTGCTACTACTGCTATTGCTACTGTTACTACTACTAATAATAACACTAATGATACTGCTACCACCACTACTTTAGAGGGGCAAGCGGCGTGGGACTACAACTATCACTACTGCTATTGCTTCTATTCTGCTAATACTACCACTACTACTCCTACTACGAATTACATCAAAGCCAAGCCAAGCCAGACCAAGCCAAGCCAAGCCAACCCCAATGAGATCTCCATTCACCCTTGTCCAATCGGAAAACCCCTCTAATAGGAAAATCGTATCGAAGAGAGAACCCTATCTAATTGAAAACCATATCTAGTGGGAACACCCTATCCAGTAGGAAAGCCCTATCTAATAGGAACACCCTATCAAAGAGGAAAGCCCATCTAATAGGAACGCCCCATTCTATAGGAAAGCCCCATCGAGTAGGAATATCCCATCTAACGGGAAGACCCTATCCAATGCAACCACCCTACCTAACAGGGGAAATTCCTAGTTGGAAACTAATCGCAAAACCAAATGTAATGGGAAAGCCCTACTCAAGACCGTGAAGACCGTGCTTCCAGCTGGCTGGCAACAGAGCAGCGTCTGCGAACAAGCACTGAAACGACTGTGGGAGGGGGCAAAAGAGAAGAGAGGGTGGTCACAGGAGCAGGCTGGCGCCTAATAGTTGTAATAGTGGTAGTGGTAGTGGTAGCAGTAGAAGAAGTAGTAGTAGTAGTAGTAGTCGTCTTAGCAGGAGTAGTAGTAGTAGTAGTAGTAGTAGTAATAGTAGCGGTGGTAATAGTAATAGTAATAGTAATAGTAATAGTAACAGTAACAGTAACGGTAACACTAACACTAATAGTAATAGCAGCAGCAGCAGCAGGAGTAGTAGTAGTGGTAGTGGTAGTGGTAGTGGTAGTGGTAGTGGTAGTGGTAGTAGTAGTAGTAGTAGTAGTCGTAGTCGTGGTCGTCGTCGTAGTCGTAGTCGTAGTCGTAGTCGTAGTCGTAGTCG